TCTTCTATCTTCACTGGAATTCCAAAAACTAAAGAATTCCAAAAACTAAAGAAATCACACAACCTACGAAAGGCTTTATAATTCTTCAACCACACGATATGATTGCAAGAAAACAAAAGAATTATGATACCTTTGTGGGACGACTCCATAGTCGGCTGTGCAGGAGAAACCGTGGGCAGAGGACTCTTTTGGAATAACCAAAGATCCATTCTCTTTCAGTTGATAAGATTCCGCCGACGAGAAGTCCAGATCCACATTACTGCAAAGAAAAATCTGTTTTTATAGTGGTTTTTGAATTCTATTACTACTCTAAAAAATAACTTTCAAGTGTTTTTCGAGTTTTTAGAACGCAATTTTTTCTGTCATGACCCAGTTTCAAAACGCAGCTTAATTTGCATAATTTCCCTTCCGCTCGCAACCCCTACAGTCGGTCAGTCTGTCGCCATGGATGAACAACGAGCAATTTCCCGTGTTGCGTCCATCACTCATCCTTCATTGTCCACTCACAGCATGACGTCTCTAAGGACATTATTCCTCGTTTGCGTTTGAGAACGCACTTTGTAGAATATTTTGAGTTTATTTAGGAGGGCCAAAGAGCAGAAGGAACAGACATGGTAAAATGAGCAATGTACACTAAAGTCAATGTGAAGGTGCGTAGTATCACAAGAATTGCAGACGTTAGAACTTGCAACTTTATTAGGTTATCAACTAAAAAGCTTAAAGGTTTACTAATAGAAATGAATTAGTCTTAGCAAATATTATACACATTTTTAAAAAAAATCTTCATTAGTTTCTATTTTAAAACCCACTTGTATAGCCAGTGTACTTCCCCTCCACCTAGAGCTGGACAGTCCAACACGTTGTTGAATTCGTTTTCCACAACGGTGGGTTCAAAGCAGGAAACATCGTGTCCAGTGATCTGTAGCCAAAATTTATCTTACGAAGCAGAATCAAAAATCTCGAGTAACCGTCACCTTTTGCAGAGAAATTCCGCGAAGTTTTGGAGGGTTGAAACATTTTGGATCCTCATTTGGTTTCGACTTTCCTACACTGAGCTTGCTCAGCCCAACGATTCTGCAAACCAAGGAATGATAGATAAAGAATTCAAATAGCAGCTGTATATTAATGTTGATACTAGAAAAGGTGGATGATAGCGGATGCTGAAAAGGCAAAAAATGGAGACTATAGGGAATGAAACATTTCGCTATTGTTTTGAGAACGTGAGTTACGGTTCTGAAACGAAAGCAAGAAACTCAGCGGAAAGGTTTTGCAAAAAAATTGAAGCGAAATTTGGGAAGTTGATTGCAAAGACAGCTTGAATAGACTGTGGGAAGGGACCTGTATCCAAGAAAAACTATTGTGATAGAAAGAACTTGGGTCTTTAGTTTGCAAATTGTAAGGATAATTATTTGAATTACTTAGATTAGTTAGTCGTTCTTTAAAAACTGAATTCTTAGAGAGTTGGTAGAATGAAATAAATTATATAGAAGGAACAAAAATGCAAATTTAAGAAAATATCCACAAAGAGAGGAGATGGAAGTAAATTGTAGTTTTATAATGCAAGAAAAGCAACTGTTGCAATGAAATTTTTTTCAGAACAGTATGGGCCAAACCTGCAGTCACAATTCCATGGGTTTCT